ATAAACGTATCCAGGGCAGTTTCGTCTCTATGCTCGGGGTCTGATGTTGGATACGACAGCAATGTCAACCGTTCGATATCTTGTGCCAGCTGCTGAATGGATTCACCAGATCGTTGCGTTCTGTTTCTAAGCTGAGATCGATAAATCTGTTTCATGTGTTCTTCACCATAACGTAAATCCAACGCGCTAACCAGAGCTTCATAGTTGAAGTGGTTCTCCGCCGGAATCGTCTGAAGAACCTCTGCTGCTGAACCTCGCAGGGCCAGTATCAGTGCTGTTGATCGTTCTTTTCCGTTCCAACAGTTACTAGTTGCAGCTGCTTCGAACTGGTTTTTATAAACGTTCCAAGACATCTCTCCGTCAAATGCTGGTACCTTCAAAGTTCTTCCGGATGCGTGATCTAACGGCATGGCCATTTTTTTGGATTGCTCCAATTCTCGCTTTAATTTGTCTATCTTGTGATCTACCTCAACGGTCTGACGATCAAGTTTCTGCTCGATCATTTCTATTCTTATTGACTGTTCTTCAATCTGTTCTGCCACTTCCAATTTTACGTGTTTTAGCTGGTCCTTGATCTGTTTTAACTCCTCTGTCTGTCGTTCGGACTGTTCCTTGATCTGTTGTTTTAACTCTTCTGTCTGTCGTTCGGACTGTCGTTCGGACTGTTCTTTGATCTGTTTCAACTCCTCTGTCTGTCGTTCGGACTGTCGTTCGGACTGTTCTTTGATCTGTTTTAACTTCTCTGTCTGTTGTTTTAACTCTTCTGTCTGTCGTTCGAGCTGTCGTTCGGACTGTTCTTTGATCTGTTTCATTTCAGTTGACATACTAAGTAGAAGTTCCATCATTTTAGCGGTTGTAAACGTGCCTGTGCTAATTTCATTGTCTTCGTCAGCACCATCAAACTTGAATTCGTCTGGGTTCTTACCTTCGTCAATGAGAGCTTCTCTCAGACGTGCTACTAGTACTTTGTTATTTTTCTACGAGTAGTAATTCGCTGGTCGAAGATCCCGTGTTCTGACACCAATGTTATAATTCTCGCTGTCGTAACCGATTTACGATGCGACGGGTTCAAATTCTTGATTGAATAAAATATTCCAAACAGTTATTAAACTTTATTTACAGAAGAAATCAACTATTATTAGTTATTAAACTTTATTTACAAAAGAAATCAACTAATCGTTTATTTCTAGTAAATTCAAACTAACGCAACAATTAACTTTTAAATCGTTCAAAATCTATCGCTATGACAACGTCAACAAACAAATCAAATATCGCTTTAAATAATTCACCGAATCGCTATTCACAAAATCACGAATTTCAGTAATCACGAATATCACTAATCACGAATATCACTAATCACGAATATCACTAATCACGAATATCACTAATCACGAATATCACTAATCACGAATATCACTAATCACGAATATCACTAATCACAGATTTCTTGCGACGTGCGCTTATATACTCTTCGCAAGCGTCGTTTCTAGATCCTTCTAGATGGTCCGATTCTAGCATACTCTAGAATGCTCCAGTCACTAGAACATTCCAGAATACGCTAGAATCTAGTGCGTTCGGTAGCACGGTTATAACAATATTTTCTGCTTTCAAAAACGTTTTTTTGACACCGTTTCTTTCCGCTACTATATTTCTGCTTATTTCTTGTTAAAATTTTGCAGGTTTCTGCATGTAAAAACCGTTAAACGTTATTTTATTATTTTCAACTTTGTTTCCTTAGACACATAAGCATTTGATGAAAATATCAACATTGCAAACCTTCCTAGCAATATTTCATACATAATTTTTGAAAACACGTCAGTCAGGTCGAAACATTTAAATTTTATAAAATTTTTAAAACTCACTCTTCA